AGCGGAGAACAAAAAAGTATTTTTCTTCATACGAAATTCGATTGTCTGAAAGTAATGTATTTCTAAAGCTATATAATTATCGATTAAATGTTATAAGCAGGATTTTCTGTTTCGCATTTAAAGTAATTTATATCACACTGTACATACTCTTTTTGCATTTCGAACATATTTACATATGAACCATTATCCACCGGTCATATTTATATATGAACCACTATTTTCAACTACGATTTTCTTCTTTCATTCCTCTTCAATTATTTATTAACTTTGATCTTATCATAAGCGTGGGAGTATGTAAGCACCGAAAATAAAAATTTCCTAATCTCGCAGTTTCGTCTGTTGACATTTTTCATCATTTTAAACTCGTACGCTATTTTCGTATGTCGCTTACTTTGAATAATATCATCAAAATTCAAATTCTCTTCAAAACTCATAGCACAGTGTTTACTATCATTCACTAAAAATGACGATTTAACGTTGTTCATGTCATAAATTTTATTCTGTCTATTTCGTCAAATGCCACTCTAGCGCTATGAAAAATATTATATTTTTTAGATATACTATATTCACCATAGTCTTATAAAAAGTTGTGAAAAACTATTTTTCTTGGCGCTATAGAGTGGCACTAATTCTTAATCATCGTAAGTTAGTATACATATATTACTATACATAGAAAAACGTGTCATCGTAAAGGTGATAGTTCGTTTCTCACCTAACGTACAAATTCATTGTCATTAAACGCGAAGAGATTCACGCTTAAGCTTCTATGTACGAGGTTGTACGAACACAATGTTACGTTATCGTTCTATTCGTGACCTACGTACGTACATACATAACGTCCTATCGCATGCGCATCATTCATGAAAGGGAAAAAGAGTAAATGATACATGGAGGGTAGGAGGGGAAGGAGATTTCAGAAGTGGGAGGAGGGGGTCAGTGACCGTTACATCATCGAGAACTCATAGTCTAGGGAAATTAATAAAACCGCCATTCACGTGCGATTATAAATTCAAATGGAATGAAAAAAATACTAATTCGAATATCAATGATTTATTGCCAATGCGCGTAATGTTTTCACACACACATGTCGCAATTTCTTGCCAGATATTTTCCATCTAACGTGACGCTTTTATTAAATTTAATAACTTTTTGTTGATCATTTTATCTGAACTATTAGCAATATGAAAATGTACGTTAACTCGACAGTTTATTAAAAGTATGATTGTTTGGATAATGTAAAACGTTGCTCTATTATGTTAACGAAAGAATGAATCTTCAGAGAAGTTGTTCCTTAAAAGAGGTATCGCGGATTCGGACTAACAGCTCACGATATATCTATAATTAATTGTTAATGATCATGTATTTTAATGCTATCTGCATTCGCAAGTTGCAGCAACCTTCGCCTGGGACAATTAAGTTTCTCAAATTATTTTACGCTTAATATAAAACGCTAAGAGACGATGCAAATGAAAATTTTGCGTCACGCTGTCTGTCGAAGAAACTGTTACGCAATGATAGATAAGAAAAACTATGATACCATCATCAGCATTTCGTAATTTAAAACCTCATATAGTTACAATGGTGAAGGAACGGAAAAGAGGGAAAGTGTTTTAAGATGCGTGATAGAATTCGGGAGGAAATATCCTTGAACGCGATATATCGGTCAGCGCATCATTAATTCTCCATAATCCGCTAGCAAATAATGTGAGAAATGCCTCGTCGTGGCTCGGACGTGTCAGACAATGTGGCAACGTCGCGACAGCAACGTCGCCTTACGAAAGCAGACAGGCACATTCACCCTTTGTGATGTTCCAACGCATGCGCAGTCATTTCCACGAAAGAATAGGTACCAATGCGATGCACCGGCACGCGGAACCATGATCTGTGGAATACTGCGACACCGCATATCGTTATACCTTACGACGCATGCGTCGCGTATCCTGCCACATGTGTCAAACTACCGCCGAAAGGTCGTCTATCCACTATTCTGCTACGGCCGCCGCGACACACACATAAATACCTAATATACATGTATACATACAAGTAACGACCAATGGTGGATCTCACGTGAAGCATATTTTTATCGCGTGACGCGATTGGTCGCCCGACCATCATCCGTCATCTTTCATATGCATTTATTTTTCACGCACTATTTTGTTTTCTCTTCCCCTTATCTAATTTCACGTACGGCCTTTTTTTCGTATTACTTTCTCCCACGTGGAATTCCTTTTTTTACTGATTTCTATTATAAAGGTACATAAACAATATTATTGTTATCTGCAATTCTACCTGTATACCACAAAGATTAGAAATAGGGTAAACGTGTCTTGTTTTAGACCTTAGCCAATAGTCAGCCTCCTTAGAAATGTATGGCTTAGAAATAAGAATAACAAATTTTTGTACAGTTCAATATGTCTAATGATTAATCAATGGTTTCGTACAATAAAGTTTTGAATAAGTAATTGGTAATAGCTAAGTCAGTTATTTTTAAGGTTAGAATTGCCGTTAGATCGTTAACATGTATATTTTCCAAAGGTGGATGACTATTGGTAAACAATTTTAAATAGTCGACTATTAGAACTTCGTGATTTTCTTCTCATGCAGTTAGCTCTAAGAAATTATTATATATTCTAGTTGATCACGTTCGTTCATAACACAAATAAAATGATTTTATTAATCGAATACAAAATTACGTATAGTTGCTAGATAATCCTTTATCGTTAGTTACTTGTAGGTTCTTATTAAATGAAGAGTAATAAGACTTTTTCCAAGGAAATGTTTTCTAGGACATTCTTTTTCTTTATTTTAATATTTCTCTTGTCATGAGGAATGTGTCGCTTGCACATATATCCATGCGCAAGATGTGATGCATGATGCATCCAGAAATGCAAACTATGTAAGGAAACCGTTATTGCTGTAGGGACACGAGCGTCTAATGTGATTTTCTTGCTAGAAATTCAGAGCACTTTCGTACTGCATTGCAAATATAATTAACAACAACATTTTAAGGTGTTTCCACTATAACTTTTTTAATAGATCTTAGTTTTCAATAGTATTTCACTACCTCAGTGTAAAGTGAAGCAGGTTACTTTCCTTAATTTTGTGAAACGTGCAATTTGAAATAAATTATAACATGTAGCTTTATTATGTTTTCCTTTAATTTAGTATAACAGTGAGCAGTCCAAATGTTATGTAGAATAACGAAGTAAGTTGAAAACCTGGACTTGAGTCACTCTTACAAGTATTTTACAATCACTTCTTACAATATAAAGAGTCTTATTTATTGTCAGTACAAATGAACTAATATGAAACGATAAAAGTCAGAGTAAGTCTATTAATCCCTATTTTGAGAAGCAAAGGTTTTACTGCAGCTGGTATAACACATTTTTTAAGTAGAGAATAGTGAGGGATACTAATTGAAAACTAGTAAAATGCCTTATTATAAGAAATGGTTGTGGATAAAGTGATTAAACCTATACCCTGTTTTCATTAGCAGTGGCCCTAAATCATATCCATGATTATCTAGCTAAATAAGTAGAATCTTTAGTAACTTTGGTTAGCAAAAAATGAAAAGTAGCGAGTAGGGACATCAATTCGGATTTACCTTACCTTGCTTTTAATATATTAGCATTTGTAGTTGAAGAAAGCAATGCAACTCACAATTTTTGTGTGAAGACTTACATAACTGTGATCTTCATCCTTTCATATGTAAGTTAATTTGATAAAATAAATATTACTGACCCTTTCGCTTCTGCCTTTGTCGACCTATGAGGCATATTTGTATTCTTGACTATCAGGCGAGCATCTTCTAATAGGATGATAAGTCTTTTTGCTTTGTAACAGATGTTTTAAGAACGATCAAAGACCATGAAAAATAGTTAAAAAATAAAAGGGTTTATATTTATTATTACTATATTAAAATGATCTTTTGTGGACTGACGCCACTGGGCAGAGCAAGGGATTCAATGGGATGAGTCAGTTTCTAACTTTCCCCGGTGCTAACGCACGTGCTGTGGTTTCAGGTCGGCGCAAAATTACGTGAACATCAAAAGCAGCAGCCCCGTGTCACCGAGGACGATAGGGGCAGGGGTGACTTACGTGCAGGGTGGCGCGGCTGCATCCTCGGCGTCGGCGGCGGGAACAACAGGAAGTGGAAGCAGCAGCGGCGGTGGAAGCGGAGGCGGTGGTGGTGTTAACAACGTGAACAGCGGGGCTGGATCTGGTTCCGGTGTCGTATCATCGGCCGGAAGCGGGAACACCACCGGTACCGGTAACAGTGCCGGTACTGGAAGCAACAGTGGCGGGAACACCGGCACGGTGGGTAGTGCACCAGGAGGTTACGTTACCGTGCCGATGGCTGCCAGCCTGCGGTACATACACCCGTACCCGTCGACGCCGACATCGGCGTCGGTGCCGGCAGTAGCGACGATGGTAACCTCGGCTTCATCGGCACCGACCCCTGTCCCGGTACCTGCACCCGCAGCTGCACCTGCCAACCCGCCTACAGTCAGTCAAACGCCGCCACCATCGCTCCCGGGGACTTACGTCGCAAGGGACGCTTACCGCATCGCCACCACGAATGTAGGTATTTCCTTCTTTGATTTATCACTTGATAAATCGCCCTCGAAACCCTCTCTATCCGTTTTCTCCGTTTCAAAAATCTGTAGCTGTACGTCCAGATAAATTTTAAAACGCAATTGAACATTGGGATATTAAAAGAAGATGCAGTTTTTTAACTTTGTAATAATACATTGATTTTGTAACTGTAATTTCTTCTTTATAATGTAGGAGAACTGGAATTAAATATCTTATTGAGAGAATTTTGCGTACATATGCGTGTAATTAATATTTACACATAATGTGGTTATAACAATGCTGGGTATGGTGAGTACCAACCTTTTGTTGCTGCCTAAATGTTTGGAACGCGTTGTACGAAACGCGCGTGTAGATTTGCCCCCGCTCTGCCCTTGACTTTCACCTACTATTAGCCCTCCCCCTTTCCCTTCTGCTTAGCGGTGTAGCTTGTATTTGTCGCGAACGGAGCGCGGTTTTCAAATCATTTTATGCTGATATCAAAACCAGATCCTTTAACAGCATCACTATTTTTTATGAGTCTTCATCTTTTTTTACTATAAAAATAATATCGTGAAACTTCGACGATTTCCGGAAAAACATTCCTTGAAAGAAAATTTATTTTAATAATTAAGAAAATATTCCTGTTTCTGATGCAAGCAGTTCAAAGAAATTACGAATTTACGAATTTATTACGTCTCACGTTACAGTCCATTTAAAATGTACATTACGCGTATGTACTTATATACGCATAGAATTAGATAAACGATCTGTACACGAAGTCGTACGCGTTATCTGTTTGGGTGCGAGATTAGAATCGCAAGGCGGGTGTGTAAGCAGGGCAAATAGCGCGAGGGTCGGGAGAAATAAAGATGGAGCGATTAAAAGCGGAATGTTTAGCCGTAACGCGAGTGCAAGGAACGTATGACGGTTGTTGTAGATGTATCGATAGTCTACCGTCTGCCCTCTTGAACCGGGTCATCGATTTTCTTGAAATAGGTTCGCGCCAGAAAGGTTGGGCAAGATAAATTGAATAAAACGCGCGATGAAAAAAGCACAAGAGCAGTCGAATATATATTCGTAGGAAACGGATAGAGAGAAAATGGGTGTAATGTTAGATGGAAAGAAGGAGGAGATTTTAATAGTTCCCGTTGTCTAGGTGAACGAGAGGATCGCCATCAGCGTGAGCAGCAGTCCTCTGTCGCAGATCGGCGTCGGTGTCGGAGTGGTTACAGCCGAATACGCGGCGAACAGCGGGTTAGGCGGTGGCAGGGGGGACAGACCGAGGATATCGCTTCTGCCACCTGCCTCGGTTACCCCGACACCTTCTCCGACGGCGCCAGATTATCAGCATGTGTCCAGCGCGAGGAATTCACGAATAGGCATGATGCCCGTCCAGCCGGATCAGTATTGCAGCCGTACGGCTATCGAGTTGGGCAAGCTCCAGGAGGCGCCGCCCTTCAAGAAAATACGTCTCAGTCAACCGACCCAGGTTCAGTTGCAATCGCAGTCACAATCTCGCTGTCAGAGTTTGTCGCCTGCCGATGCCTGCCTCAAGCAGCAGCAGGAACACGTTGTTCAGTTGGTACAAACGCTTAGGATAGACACTAGGGTGGGTATAAACATAGTCACGGTACCCGTATTTAGTATGCACTTCCTTATCTAATCTAATGTTGTCTAAGTGACTTACAACAATTAGCTGAATGTTTGTTCAGTCCGTACATTTTTAAGTGGATTATAATGGTCAAATCATAGCAATTATGGCAATGCTCTAAATTTGATAATAAATTTTGTGTAGAACTGGAAAGATGTTCGTTTAGGGATAGAAATTTGTACATTAAATGGGTACTATTAGTTTATGATGTGTGATGCCGTATTTTATGGAGAATTGTTGTTAGGAGCAGCCTTCGACGGGAGCGTACACGCCGCAGACTGAAGCTATTTCGCCCACGCTTCCGGAGCCGACTACGCAAGAAGATGCACAATTCAGGAGCACCAAGGACGATCTCTTGCAACAAATCGCGAAGGTCGATAGGGAAATTGCGAAAAGGGAAACAAACATAAACAAGCTTCGGAAAAAAGAGGTAGAATTAGAAGAGACAGCGAATAAACCTCTGGAAGCCCCTGGTCTTAAACGGCAGGTTGAGGAACAATCTCAGCAACCAAAGCATCGATCCCTGGCACAACAAATTTATGCTGACAACAGGGTAAAATCATTATGCTTACACTTATCTGGTAATGTGAACAATCATAGATTTGATAAACAAAATTACGCAAATTAGTTTGGTCAAGACTGCTTTTGTAATTCGGAGTTTTTACTTTATGCATGGTTTACGTAAAAATTTATATGTATTAGGCGGAGTTCTGATGATTAATTCGAATTGTAGAGAAAGGCAGAAGAAGCACACCGACTGCTAGAAAGGTTGGGTCCAAAAGTGGAACTACCTTTGTACAATCAGCCGTCAGATACAAGTGTGTACCAAGAAAATCGTACGAAACACCAAACGTACATGAGGGCGAGGCTTATAGCGAGGCTTCGACGAGAACACGCTGAACGCGCGTCCCTTCACCGGCAACAGTCACAAACGTACGCTGTTTTGGTACAGGAGTGGCACCGTAAAGTAGAGCGATTGGAGGCGACGCAGAAAAGAAAATCGAAAGAAGCGAAGAATCGTGAATTTTTCGAAAAAGTCTTTCCCGAATTACGGAAACAAAGGGAAGATAAGGAACGCTTCAACAGAGTCGGTGCTCGCATCAAGAGTGAAGCCGATTTAGAGGAAATTATGGACGGCCTTCAAGAGCAAGAGGTATCTACGCACATACACATATTTAGACTTATTTTGTGCTGATAACGTTGATGGTTTATAACGGTACTTCAAATTAATTATACGATGGCTTAAAAAAAATAGAATAATGGGGAAGTTCGTGGGGGTCAATTAGTTATTACGCGGAACAGATACTTAATTATGAACGAGATGCACGATTAGAACCATATTATTACTTAAGCAGTAATAATTGTTATATCTACATACATGATAATGATAGTAATCGTTCCATTACTTTTATAGATGGAAGATAAGAAGATGCGCTCATACGCAGTAATACCGCCTTTATTATTGGATATGAAGCAGAGGCGAATCGCGTTTCAAAATCGGAACGGTCTTCTTCAACCTGAAGAATTAGAGGCTCTTCATAGCGAACGAAAATTAATCAACGTGTGGAGTTCCATGGAGCATGAATTGTTTAAGGAGAAATATTTACAACATCCGAAGAATTTTGGAACAATAGCTCAATCTTTAGAACATAAGTCCGTTCCAGATTGTGTGCATCATTACTACCTCACTAAAAAAGCAGAAAATTATAAGCAGCTCTTGCGAAAGTCCCGGCAACGAACACGTAGCTCTCGGAACAACCCTAATAATAAAGTGAGTGTTATTAATTAGTAGACTCCGAATTTTCATGCAGAATAAAATATTCATTGTTCAGTTCAAAAAATGCATACACATTTTTTTTATCATGTAATCTAATATCATATAAACATTATAATAGACACTCATCTCTGAATATTTTGTATAGTTTGTATATTTTTAACATGGCAAACATGTTTCATATTCACTACTGATACAATTTTTTTAGAAATGCGTAAAATCCACGATCTATTGATTAGACTTTTTCTTAGTTTACGTTCAATATAAATGTTAATCATTTGTTAATCCCTTTTTCAGGTAAATAATACCAGTTCGAGTATTGGGACATTAGACATTTTGACTACGGGTGTTACGACAAGGTTGCAACGCGAGCAACAGCAAAAGACTCAGGAGAATCCTCAGAATAGTTCGTCGTCAACATCAACGATCACGACAACGACGACAACGACGACGACGACGACAACGACAAGTACGAGTACGACTACGTCGAACGCATCGGCGACGGTCGTTGCGGCAACAAACGTGACGACTTCGACGACCACTTCGAGTTCATCAACGTCGGGTATATGTTTAACGACGGACTCCGTGATAGCATCGACGACAGCCACAACGACATCTGCATCGAGCTCTACAACGTCGTCGTCCGCGACACCGTTAACGACTACGACTGCGAAGGATAGCAGGGATTCCAGTAAAGAGAACAAAGAGAGCAAAGTTGAGTCAAAGGAACCGCACCTTATCAAAATCGAAGTAAAAGAAGAGCCGCAGTTGAACTCCGAAGCGGTGCCGGGAAAAGATGTCAAAGTAATGTACGTATACATTTATTGCTTTTCACAAGTTAGAGTCGTACTGTAAATTTTGTGCAGAGTCGATTGAAACATACTGTAGAATCTCACAAAAGCAGATAATAAGTGCTTAGAATTATATTTGAAATACATATTACAACAGTTTTGTATGATCTAATTACCAAAAATTTCTGTGAAAATGATCCAAATAATTTTATGAGCCGTATATCTCATGTCGACTGAATATGTTAATTATAAAAGAATACGGAGATAATAATCCGTTGACAAGATTAATAGAAGTGTATTGTGATATGATAAAGTGGATCTTGGACGACGTTTTATCATTTTATCCATGCAATAACAAACTTGAGTAACAATATTGATTTCTTGTCTCTTAAGGAAAAACAAGACATAAGTATTGATAATATTATTAATAATATAATTACTATTTTTTCAAATTTCTTCAACCATCACGTTTATTATGAGTTTGTGGTTTAAGAGATAATGCCCGTAAAACTTAAGGTAGTACACAGTTACGAAAATTAATTTTCTTACGATTGTTTCTAAATTTTAACTATATGATAATTATAGTACTATTTATCGATGATTAAAATTATAGGAAACCTGGCATTATAATGAGCGAGATATTCACCCTCAAAGTTTCTTTTTTTAACATGTAATCACTATATTGACACTTTTCGAAGATGACATTTTTAATTATAACAAAAAACTGATTTTACAATGTGTATAAAAAAAATTAACATATCATGTAAGAAAATCATAAGAATCTTACATTAAAAGATTAGAGTGGTTAGTGTCATCGTTTGTAAATAAGAGCATCGCAAAAATTGCAAATTCATAAAATTTATATGAAATTGCGCAAGAAAATAAGGTGTTAGATGAAGAGAAACGTAAGAAGCAGGTTCAAGCTGTACAGTTATATTTAAAACTATCTTTCTGCTCTCATTAAGAAATTCAGATGGCATCCGCAAATCTACACGCAGCGTAGTTTCGGATGCCAGTCTAGCACTACTACTACTACTACTACTTTGAAATAAAAAAAATAAATGGCCACAGATCTGGTGTACTATTTGGTAACTAGACTTTTGATGTAACCGATATTTTGGCCGTAAATTTCTACGCAGACTCGGTCACCGCAATAAATAACTTTCTATTTTCATATCACTTACGTTTAGAAACTATAAATCTCAAAATAGAAATTCTCAGCGATCGAATAATTACTCACTCATATATTTTTCTCATAATCGTTAATTCATTTTCAACGAACACTTACGTAATAAAAAATGATTAAACTACGACATCGTGTACAAATACATAGCTCACGAAGTGAGATATTAAGTCGAGAGTTGAAATTTAGGTAAACAAGCACAGACACGAATAAAATATTTAATGAAGTAATCAATATAAGTTATTAAATTCAAGTTCAGATAAATTTGAAAATTTACAATTTTCTCATTGTACTGAAAAGAAAACACGTATCATATATGACTTGAACATCCAAGTTTATATGCTTGGAATGTTGAAGATAATTTATAACAGGCTGAATTATTTCATAAAATCATACATCTATATAGTCTAGTTCGTGTTTCGAGCTCGTATGATCTATGTAGGCCGTTTTCAGAATGCGCGTCTTACGTGTAGCTTTCTACCTATAAAGCAGCATGCTGCTTTAATAAATCATCCGCCTAGTGCCAAGAAGCTAATATTAAAGTTAACGACGTTAATTTTAACTAAAAGAAAGTTTCGTTCTAGACTTAATAGCAGGCAAACATGTTACATAAATCTCAGTTTGAAAGTTTCCAGCTTATTTCAATCAATTATTTTCCATACGACGAAAAACACGTTTCAATTTTTTTTAAGAAACGTAGAATGTGGTGTGTAATATTAAAATAATTCCATATTATTCAACTACGTTTGATGTCGCTTGGAATGTATATTTTTTTATTACCTTTTATAATCAACTTGAGAACGTTCGTAATCCATGTTTTTGTCATTTATTAACAGTTCATTGATTATAAACGTATTAATTAATCAACTGCTTCCGAATATAACGTATGAGGAAAAGGCATTTACATCTCTCCGTAATTGCGTTAATATTCTATATATTTCTCTGCGACATTTTGCATGCAAGTTCCAAGAAATTTAATTCGTACATTGTTAAAAAATATAACACTTTTTTACTTCTAACAAGCAAACATAGCATGAATAATTATATAGCGTATGAAATATTTAATTTAACTAGAAATTTTATAATTTCTACCAATTTTTAATAATTTTCCGCTCACCATTTCCACTTTCCTTTAAATTAATTTTTTTATTTAATTAATATAATGAAAGACTGGAATTCTGACAATCGTTATCGAGTTTGGAGCCATAAAAATTGTTGGAACGTGAATAAAAGGAAAGAGGGAGAGAGTAACGGTGAATGGAGGGCGTCTAGGGGGAGCAAAGGGTGGTAGTGGAACAGGGAGGTTCGTGTGGGATAAGGCGGGGTAGTTATTAGCAGATTGTAATGCTAATCAATGGTTACTGGTTAGTGGATTATGTTTACGTAGGCATTCATCATCGAAATTGAATCGATCGTTGAAAATCTGATTCTGAACCGCACGAAGACCGGAATGTGTTGACTTATCCTGTTCGCTTAGGAATTATATCGAATTGCTGCAAAACGAGGGAATTTTTTTACATCGAGACGAGAATGATAATTCTTGTAGTACATTTTTTACGCGGCTTTATAAATATGAAAGAGAATATATGACAATTTATGAATTTGAGGATAATAAAATTTTTCTAACGTCGTTTATAGAATATTTGGGCGTCAAATTTATATTTTTCTGAACTTTCATTGCGTAATTTTCTAAAGTATAAATCTTGATAAGATAAAATTATCTATTATGAAACATTTTCTAATAGAAGTACAAGTTAAACACCGATTTTAGATAGTTAGAAAAGTTAATATTGAGAATTTGCAGACTGTTCGATATACTAATATTTCTGGCTGAAGTAATCAATTGGAAAATTTAAAACAGATATTAATCTTGTAGGAAACGAGCCATCTATAAGTGTTTTTGCAGTCGGAAATGCAATTAACGGAACTCGTACATGTGTTTGACAAAATTTGACATTAACTTTTTTTACTGGGGTCTTTAATAAAAATTTGAAACGTTTCTTATAGATCGAAGTAAATTATGTATAGATATACAAAGTTTCATAAAAATTGGTTAACATGGTTATGAGCTACAAATCGCAGGTTTTCACAACTTTTGGCCTATAACAGAGATAAATTGAAGAATATGTCCAACTTTTTATGTGCACACAGATTTTTAAGTGCTAAGGTTATTAAACTGTTTAATGTAAACTGTATAAATCTGAAACCAGATTTTCTTTAAATGAATATGACAAATGGTTTATTTTGTATAAACATCCACAATCCGTGATTATAATTGAGATTGTGTTTCATAACAGTTATTTTCACCTAAAAGTTTATTAGAAGTTTCTTAATAAATGCAATCGTGAATATTATTTGAGAGGTTTTAACAAATCGAAACGATGTTATTGCAGGGAGGCGGCAAACAGTGGTGGTGGCGGTGGCAGCGTGGCGGCAACGAGCAGGATAAAAGAAAAGAAAAAAGATAACCACGCAACCCCGATGGAAACCAGCGACGAGGAAGCCCAATCAATGGACACCGTTGGTAAGTTTGATTAAACAAATTTCATCTATTTCATCGTTCGATTCGCTGTCTTCCGTCAGTTTTTAGCCAGATTTTCAAGAGTTCGCAATTTTACATTGTATGTACGTTTCGCGATTCTTTTTTTTATGCAGTCAGATTTATTAAAAAAAAGCTTACTCGTTCGTGTAATATACGATGTTTGTGAAGGCAGAGATTCTGATCGAGTAAAGTTTAGGATTAGAAAGAATTGTTTTCTGTTTAATTAACGCTTGCATGTTAATAATGAAAAAATATTGAATACTTTTCACTTTAGGAAATAAATTAATGAACTCTGCAATTAAATTTTTACTAATTTCTAAACTTTTGATTAAATTTGGTTTTACAAAATAGTTCTATTATCGATTATTTCAATTGCGTAATTATATTGCCGTGTCTACTATTAGCGTTTGAAGAATAGAGTTTAAAAGTTGATTGTTTTAGATGTTATTATTGCATAATACAACAGAACTACATGGATTTAATACATTGTCATAAATATAATGAAACATCATTTATTATATAATCGCTTTACACAAACGCTTTAACAATCGATAATTCTGAAGTTGACGTACAATTCTGACAACTTCGTGATAAGCGATTAACAAATTGATCGGGACACTCAAATCTTTTGAATTCATTTTTATTACCGTTCCTTTCAATACTATCGTTACAGGAAATATCAGTTAACATTATCTAGCTACAGTTAATTATTACAATTTGTTCAACATTATCTCCAAACTTGATCTCTACAAGACTCAAACAGTGAATCTTTTTCCTCAATTAACTGAACACCATTTAATATCAGTCGAGCCATTTGCACTTGTTACTATTTAATGCAACATTCAAATCTTAAATCATAATGTGTCACTATATACGTGAGACAAGAAAGACGAATCGATCATTTCAATCAGACTTGAACATGTTATTGAGGCTTGTTTTCACATCTCAATTTTCACAGTATGATTTATAAAATATTGTATTTCCGTCTTCATTGCCTCTCGTTGTTGGTCGTCGAAGTAGTCGATTCCTGATCTTCCGGCACGATGCTGTTCGCTTCGTCCGACTGGCTCCTCTCCTCCCTGTTCGCGTGGCACAGTTTCCTGTGCTTATGCACGAAATAATAGCTCGGGAACTTACAGCCGCATATCTTGCACGGATAATATTGAACATTCAGATCCAGCAGGCGAACTTCCCTCCTGTTTCGTACGGTCTCTTGCCTCTGCCTGTTCCCGATCGAGTCGTTCGTTCTGATCGATAACAAATGCCTCTTGGTGTGTTTCCTATAGCAGTACTGCGACTTGAAAGTGTGCCTGCAGTAACCGCACGTGTAGCTCCCCCCGGTTCCGTTACCAGCGTCGATCCGAGGTTCGCTCGGGTCACAGGTTGTCCTCACGGATCCCGCTGGGCCCCCGTTCTCGTCGTTCTCGCTCGACGCGTTGTTCTCCGGCTCGAAACACGGTCTCTGTAACCGCGAGCCGGAACCGGCGCCCGCGGTGGACGAGTAATTCTCGTTCAACACGCGATGGAACTTTACCGGGCCGTCGCAGCAAGCCACGTCGTACACCACCGACAAAATGCTCGACGGACCGTCGTTCCCGCTGTTGGAAGAGCCGCGTCCTCTTCGCTTGGAGCCTCTGCCGCGGTCGTTCTCCCCGACAGAGCCCGTATCGCTGTTCTTGTCGTGGCTGCGAGGTATCCTAGAATCTTCGGCAAGAGGCGAACCGAGTCGCTGCGTCCGTGGATTCTCGTTTTGCTCCTCGTAATCGGGTTCCTCTTTTCTGGCTCGGTTCTCCGTCGGTTTTCTGCTCTGGCACGCTGCGATCGAAGACTGAGACGTCGACGACGGTGTCGGTGAAATTGATTGGCAAGGCGATGACGTTCTCGTTGAAGTGACCACGTTTGACGTGGTGTACGCGGCGAAGGGATGGGAGTTTGACGCGTTCTCCGAACTCGGTTTTCCTTTGATGTCCATCCTCAGACCGCGGTTCCGCTCCACTTGAAACATCGACGATTTCGGTGAAATGTCGCTGTTGAAAATATGTTTATTAGTAACTTGACTAAGCGATTTTAATTATTAGATTTTATAAAGAATCGTGGGCACGGGAAACTAATTCGAGATCGTTTTTACTGTCAATTTCTTGATCTTTCACGGTTGGTCGCTCGAAGTGTGATCGTTTGAGAAAAGCTAACACTAACCGAAGCTAAAGTAAACATAGATATCTCGAATCTGTTGCGTTAACAATTCCGTTCAGTCGGTTAAATTGAGGCAAACAATGCGAACCTATAAACCGTCGAGCTCTGCGTTTCTTGGATGCTCGTCGGAACGATGGAAACGCTGAGTGGTACGGCCGATTGCATCAAGACCGACGGTTGTAGTTGGGGTAAATGCGATATGCCGATCGTACCAGGCGGCGGCGGCGCGGTCGGTGGATACAGCGGCGGCCAACACATGCTCGGGTCTATCATCAATCTGTTCGGTATCGGTCGAAGTATGTTCCCGGGACCCGTCGTCGACGCGGGCATCGAGCTCGACGATGTCAGCGTCGACGTCGGACCCTGTGGGACCGGGATCGGAGTCGGCAGCGGAGGAGCCCTTAGTCTGAGTAACGCCGCTCTGCATTGCTCCAATGCTCCCGGCATATGCAACAAATGTGTGGCCAGTAGCACGCTGTAAACATTGTCCAGCGTCACCTCCAATCGGCCAGTGTACATGTAGTCCAATAGTGGCGCGAAAGCTTCCCCACCTGCAAATTCATTATTTAAACCGAGGAACGAGTAAAGGTAAAAAATATAATTATAAAAAAAGCTCTTCGTTAACTCCTCGTTTAATTCGCGAATGATGACTGACGATTGTGTGTACATGAACTTACACTAAAAACAGCTCGATTTATTGAAATTTCAATGAGATCTTCATGACCTGGTGCTTACTAACTACTTCATAAGAAAACGAATTTTCAACGAACGCAGGAAAAGAGAAAGACATAGCCGAAAAGAGGAAAGAGACACGAAAGCGCGAGGAAAAATTAGGGAAGATAGACAGGGTATCAGGAAAAAACCGACGGTTGAAAACTTCCAAGTGTTGTCATGGAATATCTCGAGTGAAAAATAATGGAAAAATAAAATAATGAAACAAAACGCTGGGAAAATGTAAAGAGAAACTCGAAGTATACCATATAACGTGGCAAAGACAAGTTACCACAAAGCTTTTTTAATAAGTTACTATTGTACATTTTTCAAATGTTTGTCTCTTTTTTAGATTGTTACATTTAACTACTAGACGACAGATTTTCTGTACACAATCCTGAAAAACAACTCCATCCGAGATTATTCAAGTCAATCTGTTCTATAAATGGAAAATTGTCTCTCTTGATATCACTAATTGGATGATATTTTCAATCATTTTACACTTACTTGGAATAATAATATTGAATGTTTTCTTCGATAAAATATCTCGATAAAATTTGGAATCAAGTTTGAGATGGTTTTTGTTATTACCGATAGACGAGACCGAGACAGACGTGACCGGTTGCCGCGTCGATTGTCCGGAAAGATTGGTAGCGGTGACAGCGATAGTGGCTGGGAAACTCGTATTAACACTGGGGCTAGGCGTCGAAGCGGCGTTTGTTAATAACGCCTTTAAGTAGCCGCTATGAGCAGCTAGAACGCCCTTGTGAGCGACAAACTGATGTTCCCCTTCGTTGCCGACCCGGACCACCGTATCCGGTGGCGATAACGTCTCCTGAAGTCGCGAATAGTTGTCTGCAGTCACGCTGTCGCCGAACCAGGCTCTGTATAAACTGTACATCGTACGAACTCGGTTTGGTAGCAACAATTTATTAATTACACAAGTATCCAGGCATCGTATAATATTTAATTGATAGTCATTGAACAGATTATATGGTCCACAGAAAATTAATTATTAATTGTCACTCGTGATCGTATTAAATCATCAATCGATCTGGCAAACCACATCTGGATCTTCTGAATTCGCGGAACAAGTCTAATTTTCAAGATCAATTTCTCGATCTTCGCCAGATTATTCCCGATTCACAAATATCGATTGCTAAAACGTCGCACGATTAATCGGAAATCGTTAGGACGAGGTAATGAAGTTCGAACGGGTGATCCAACGTGTGTAGCGATTGCCCGTGATTTGAACGCCGCGTAGTCGGCTTCGTCGTCACCGCGTTCGCCTGCTTTTTCGACTGCGGCTCCTCTACCGCCCTTCTGGTCTTTCCTCCTCCAGACGGCAGCTATCAGCCAGTCCCTGTTCGATGCACCCCGACGAACGGCCAACGGAGATCCGCCCCCGACGAGTGGAGATTGGCGGTGCTGGTTCAATTACCACAGGGCTGCACGTGCGCCTGGTATATTTACCGTGTCGAGGATTGTAGCTACCCTTTCCTTGTCTTTCTCCCCTCGTGTATCATTCACCTTCCCTCGCTCTCCACCTCTATTCTTCCATCTCGCGATCCTTTCATCTCAACTTTCGCATCCTCTGTCCACGTACTTTTGACCTTGTTTTTCTTACGAACTTCGTTTCGGAAAGACTAGCACATTTCCCAAATCTATTTAGACTCAGACAAATATCGTCGCCTATAAAGGATCAAACGTCGTTTTCACCAAGCTCAGATTAACTTCATCAACGATTAAGCGTAGCCAACAAAGTAGAAGATAAAACAATAGAAACTATTTCTAAATATGTGTATTTTTAAAAGTTATGAATTAATCTGGGAATTATTTAATTTATTAATTATATATTACGTACTTGAAGAGCTACATGCAGTTATAGCTTTACTTTATAATAAATGTCTAATTTAATCATCGTACCAGTAATTTTGAGAACTATTATAGAGCTATATTTTACATTAATGGTATATGAATATCCAGAATACTAGATTTTATCAATTTCTTTCTTTTATGTTACGTTTTGTTTACCTTTGTCATTTTATTGTATTTACCTCGGCACATGTAATTGTTCAATAATTATATCGACCTGGTGGTCGGAAGAAACAGCGAGAAAGAATAATCGCAAATTGAGAGATTCGCTTTTTCCATCTTCATCTATGAAAACCTGTCGACACCCCCACTGTGTCTCATTCTGTACCGCGTCTTCAGAAGAACGAGCTGTCGATTATATATTTATTTCCTTTTCCTGGCACATGATTTATACGTAAAATACATGTATTTGTTCTTTTTACTGAGTATTGAGAAAATCTCTTTGAATCCCTTGCAATTATCGAATGCACACACAAATTACTTAACTAATGTTAGCTTAGGTTGTCTGTTAATGATCTTAGATCGGATTGATCCAGATTAGTGCAGATTAAATATTTCTGTACAGATCTGTGTTAAAAGGAGTATTCAGGATAATAATAGAGGTTTTCGAATAGATGAGAAATACAGTTAACCGATCCAAATAGAGAGTCCAACTCCTTGCCAAACTTTGTCCAACATGAAATCCTCTTTTACCAACGATTCCCGAAAACTGAAGAGCGTTACAGACGAAACGTCGAGTGGAAGGACAAACAAGAAAGCTAATGACAGGCGACAATGAAAAACGAAAGAAAAGAAAAGGAGGGTAGGTATTTAGGCACGACCACGATTTAGCACGGGGTTGTTGGCGATTAGAGTGCCTTCAGAGAGTCGAGAAGCTAGATGAAGAGGAGCCTGTTCTCTTGGAGAATGTACTTTTCAGGATGCGTCTTTTACCTGTTCCCCTTTTCTCCACCCCTTCGCGTTCCCTCTCTATCTGCCCGTTCGGCCGTCTCGTTCCCTCTATCTGGGCTCCTCTCTGATGTTTTTCATCAAATTAACTCGCGGTACGAGTACTCTTTCTCCACGGTGTTTGCATAATATCGTTTATAATTCAGGTTGCGCTCTGAATTCCACTTTTATTCTGCTTGGTGGCCCGTACACGCACAGGTCGCTCGTTTGCTCGGTCTCGTCGCTTTTTCAACCCTCGTCCGCTTTTCCTACTACTCTATCAATGACCTATCTTACTCATTTCCTTCTCTAATTTATAAGCATTAGCCGTCAAACACCGAAAAAAATTACAGGACTACCAGAAATCAATTTAGGACATTATCTGATTCATTGAATAGGACCAGTGTTTTGTTAATAAAATATTTAACATTTCTTATCATTGTCCTCAATGATTATTCAAGTACTTTCTGAATTGAAACAATTTTATATTGTTCCTTGAGGCATTTCATTTTTTACGTTTAAAGTCCTGGCTTTATCGATAGATAATATGAAACTGCTTCATATGCCGATTAGGTAAAACGGTGGATTTTTAAATGTAATGATAACAAGGGATGTTGATGCCAGTCGAATTCAAGTTAATCGCGGGTCATTGAAACACGGTGGCGCAGTTTCGAGCAAGAAACGCGTCGCCACCAATTCAGAGTGGGACATGACGATTACGCACATTTCCCAGGAGACCGGCAAGCTTCGAACCGGAGTTTAACAGATCTGGTCGGTCCGCTTCCCTTCTCCCCTTCTCCCCTTCTCCCACGTCGCTTCCTTTATCCCTTTACATTCTGATCGAAAGCAACAACCACTACCATAATCGTCGTTTGCATAGCTATTAGCGTCATTGTTAATAATAGAAACGATTGCGATATCCCAGGGATTAAATCCTTCCACGGATTTTTCGTTCAATCGAACAGACAAATTGGAGAACAATCCTTCGTACACAGAGTGGCTGGTGAGTTATTAAAAAAATGCAGTCGTGTATTCAGTAAGTGATCCTGAACAAAACATTGAAAGCAACAAACGAACTAGTGAAATGAGCTTCAACAACCTTTTGTATTTCATGTTTCTATAAAAGAAGAAAAGAATAAGCAGTGTTCTAATTCTCGTTTGCATAGCTGTTAGTATTACCGTTAATAAACAGAAACGATTGCAATATCCCAAGGGTTATGGATGTATAGGCTATACACTTAAACAATGCTAGCATGTTGAATTTGTTATTATAGATTCCTATTACTATTAAAAAGTTACCATTTTTCGATATTTTGACAAAAAAAAAATTTTTTATTTTTCCGAGATTTTTCAAGGGGTACCCTTGAAAAGAACCCCGGAAAATTGTGATAATAATAGAATTTGAAATTGATGATTGTGACCGTTTTGGACCGTGAATTGATTTTAAGTTGAGCGCTGCTCTTCGCGAACGTCCTTAAATTATCGCGTACTCCGGGACAAAAGTACATGGAAAGTGATCGCCTCTTCAATCGGCAGAATCGAAATTCACAGCGGTGGAATGGAAGGAAATAGCCCTTCGGGCTGGCGACGTATAATCGGGAGCCAGTAGTGTACACATTGGAGAGGCCCCGGTATCGCTCTCGGTGAATCCCGGGGAGACGAGAAAGAACGCTACCGCGGTTTAATGCTCCGAGCTCGGTCGAGACAAGCTGAGCAAACACTTTTCGCGATATTACCGGGATCCGTGCGGGCTTTCTGCGGCTCCTCTTCATCGCTTCTGCCACCGCTCCCCCGCCCTCTCTTCCCTGTCTCTCTCCAACGAGAAAACGTGTTCGTTCGTTTGGTCTTTCTCCAATCCCGCTTGTAATGAAATAAATACTCACCTGCTCAGAAATTCACTTATTCTTCCTTTACGTTGCATCGGCCCATATGATTGTTAGGCTACGCGCGCTCCCCTCGGTTTCAATTTTAATGGGGTAGCACGTAATTGGCTGAACGATTAAATTTACGGTGTAGAAGCTTCCCGATACGATTGCCGCGTCAAAATAATTTCCGTCCAGTGAATTTGGCTCGGTTTTTAAACTGTTATATTTAATTACTACATTGTGGATTTTCTGTATATGTAATTTTGAAAAATAACACTACTCGATATCATTGGAACCAATCTGTTTTGTGAATTGAAAATTGTCACTGCGCAAATTTAAAGCTGAGCCCAAAGCGAATCGTGTTCATCGACGATTCCATCATTCAAAGCTGATCACCCGGTAGTGAATTAAACAAAAAACAGCTTTTGAACCGCCGACTGTGATGGAAGTATCGCTAATGATATCTGACAGGTATAAATAAACTACAGACAAAATACGCGTTTCCTAATTGCACGGGTTAATTTGCAATGGCAGCAGAGGATAATTATAAATTGATAGGAAAATCAAATTAACATCTATTAATTGGTATGCTACATGTTTACTGTGACTAGATTGACAGATTTTTATGCACATCTGTGGTACTTGAAGACTGAGTACAATTTGCAAGAAAAAAAATAAAAAAAAATTCATTCTTTATAATTACACTGACATTTTCAATGAAATAGAAGATTTTTCACATACATTAATAATATGTTTTTTTTAAATCAACTTTACATATTTATTTTTAAAGTACTGTCCTATCTGATTAAACTTCGAAAATCAAAGTTTGTATAGCAACAATCGTTTCAAACATGTTACTTTAGATTATGCGTTGTACGAGAATAATTCCTATACAGCACGTTTTTCTATAACGCGAATTCATGCAACGCATAACGTATTAATCGCGTTATACGGGAGTCATAAATCAATATTTATATAGTAGAGTACTTATATGATGGGAAAAGTATGCAGATTTATATTAAATTGTATAGAGGGGCGGCAGGAGGCACTGTATGAGTAAGGACGTGTATTTCAGAGCTTTGCGCCATTTTTTTTATTTTTAAGTGAGAAAATAACGGAGAAAAAAACGGAAACCTAAGGGAGAGGAGGCGGAAGCATCAAGGAAAGGATTTAGATACAAAGAATGTAAGAAATAACACTGGCGATTCGATATGACCCTTTTTCAAGAGTTAATCACCGTTTTTTCTGAGTTATTTTCGAGATCAAAGTGAAATTTTCTTTAGGTTATTGCTAATTACCATAAGAGTACATGCAAATTTTAAGTTACTATAATTTTTCAAAAAACCCATGAATTGATTTAAAATTTTACAAGTAGCTTTTTACTAGTAATATAAATCTATAATAACAAATTCAACATGCTAACATCGTTTAAGTATACAGCCTACACATCCTCAAGGCCGAAAGGCATAAAATAAATCTATTTACTACTATTAAATTATATAGAGAATTGATAAAAAGTAAATAGTTTATAGGAGTCATTAGATCAAGTGATACGGCAGAGTTAAAGAGTGGAAACAGGAAATGGCAACGCGCAGAAGAGGAGGTGGTAGAGGCCCCATCGCTGGGTGGA